TGTTTTGGCTTTGGTGCATTTCATTCCTACCAGTACATCGTAGAACAATTACTGTATCTTCCGATACACTGAAAAAAAAAAACTCCTCCTTTCTGAAACATCTTCTCCAGTCCATTACAACACCATCGTATACAGAAATGTCACTTGCTACAAACATCCGTAGTGGTACAATAAGAGCACACCCTCGATCAACCAGTCTACAATATACAGGCAGCACAACGCATTAACTTTCAGGTGTTAGATTATCAAGTCGCACGCATATATACACAGTAAGTACATCGAAGGCCCTTTTAGACTAAGCTATACGACAAAGTAGCATCAAGGAGACATTAGGATCTTCCTCAACTCACGGCTGCCTTCCACGATGCACCCTGAACCAGCAAGAGAATTGATCCACACGTCATCAGTTCTCACGGGCTCTTCGTCGTCATTCCTGTGCCAGGTCCAGTGGGCATGGGTGGAGTTCACGATCTTTAGCTCGCCGTGACCAAAGCTCGCTTCCCTGAAGACTGACCAAGCTGGCTTCGGGTTACGATACCTGAAGACGGCAAGAAGCAATTAAGCATACCTATAGTGATGCTGAAGTTGCTAAGATTCAGAGGCACAAATACAGTGGTGGTCAAGTGGTACCTGTGGGCCAAGCCTTCACGGTTCCCACCGTCCCCAATAGTTATGTGAACAGCACCACAAGGATCAAGTCTGCCATTGTAGACTCGCTCCTGCAGGAAGAGTGAAATAACCACATGTAATTTTCATTCAGATCGACCAAATGGTTACTTGCTCAAATTTGAATACTTCTGCAGACTGCAGTTCGGGGATATATAGGGAGTCATACCGCACGTTCATAAGCATGGACATGACCTGCTATTACCATATCCACATGAGCAGCATACAGCAAAGGCTCCATTGAAGCCATCATACTGTCACCTTCACCCTGATGAGCCCAATTGCTATTGTACCATGGTACATGCAACAACACAATGAGCCAGGGTGTCCTCTTTCTATCAACCTTGGCAAGATCAGCCTGAAAAGAAGAGAAGTTAATATACCAAAAAAAATCAAATCTACTATCAGCAAGAATAGCTGAGGGGTTTTGAAGTTAAAGACATCCTCTTTAAGTTAAGACAGATAAAATATACATTGACCATAGATAAAATAACTAGTAATTAAAATTCAAGATGAGCAATACACTAGGTATTGAATTCCAATCATTAGTCTATCTTTACTCTTCTTAGTAATGTACTGTTAGCAAAATTTTAGTATACACAATCCCTTCTCCCTCCAAACAATTGTAATGCGCTCTGATATGGATGTTATCATTACAGAGTTTCATACCTTTAGCCAAGCATACTGATCTGAGCTATCATCATAATCTGTGTATGAACCTAGCATTATGAAGTGTGCACCTGCAACTTCAAAAGAGTAGTACAAATTTGATCTAGATCCACTCTCTTCATAAGGCATTTTCCATCGTGCATTATAAGATTGAAATCCTGACTCAAAAAATAGAATCTGCTCCTTCTCATGGTTGCCTTCCGTCACCATCCAAGGCCGGTTGCTAGCAAGTGGCTCCACCAATGTGCCGAAGGAATCCCACAAATGTTGCATATAATCAGCATAAGAGAGATCACCAGGGAGTAAAAGCATATCATGCTCACACTGCTTAATGTGATTCAGGGTTGATGTTGTCCAACTAGTCTGACCAAGATCACCGACAACAGCCAATGACAGTGGAAACTGGGAGGGCGGGGTCTTAAATTGGAATTCTGGACCTTGGCCTCCACATCGGTAGTAATAAATAGTGTTGTCTTCAAGAGGTCCAACGACAACATGATGAATTTTTCCTGAGCTATACAATAAGTAGCTGTAGGATGTGCTTTCTCCTTGAGATTTCATTGTGTATGTACCTTCTTTGGTTCCATAGTCCACCACAGATGGGACAGAGTTATCATCGGTAATCCATGTTATTCTCATGTGCTTTTCTCCAGCTAGTGAAATGTGCACCTGAAAATCGTGCCATTACATGAGTGGTTCAAGAGCAAATATTGTCAACAATAAAAGGAAGTAAAAACACTAGTAAAGGAGACTTGAAAGGATGGAATATACCCAAAGACTTAGCCTTAGATAGGAGTGCTTGGAAAACAGCTATTCACGTGCCTGAACCTTGATTGATTCTGCTGGGTTTCAAGTCTAGCCTACCCCAACTTGTTTGGGACTTAAAGGCTTTGTTGTTGTTGTTGTTGTAAAAACACTAGTAAAGGACTAAGCAAGTACTAATGAACTGCGCAAAGGATCTCCTGCAAAGAAATTTAGCTTTGGAGAACAGATAAACTAATGCAGTCAATTACTTCCTTATATCTCAAATTATGACCCTCTTGTTTATCATGGACATAGAGAAGCTAGGATATCCATCAAGAAAAAACCCAAATAAGAAGGCCTAAGACATCCATATGGCACATTAACAGATTACCCATGAATACTAACACAACTAGTTATTTTTATGTGCCAATAATTAAATTTGCCATCAACTAACCTCATGAAAATTAAGCATTCCCTCAACTTCATAATACAAGGTCAAATTATACTTCTCCCAGGTTTAAAATGGTGACAGTTTAGGTGACTAGTCTGCTCTTATCATATGTAGAGCTAATAGCCTGCTCCTGTAAGTAGGGAATCGTTTAAAATGTGTCCTTGAATTTAGTAGAGGTCTAATGAAATGGATGGAGGCGCCATTAAATTCAACTGGTCATGCCAAGTTCCAAATTTTTTATATTATAGCTAGGGACTAAAAAACTACCTTATGTTTCACACTAAAGATGCTGAAAGATCTACAGTGGATGTTAACATCTTCAAAATTTAGGCACCAAGTCGCATGTAATGCAATTAACATTTGGGTGTAAAGCCATAAAATCCAACAGAAAGCCCTCATCAGGGTTGTCGCTGAGTGGAGTATGGTCATACAAATGAAAAAAAGGTAGAAATCTGGAAAATAAAAATTAGCCGTCCAGAATCATGATTCAACTATTTAGCGGTGGTTTTTGTAGGCTTCATGAGCTTGTGGTCTTATATTATCTGTCAATGTTCCTACAAAGTATGAACAGCCAAGACGGACTATAAAGGATAAGAAAGAAGAAAAACATTGCAGGACTAGTAAACTCTATGGTCATAGGAACAGCCAAGACGGGCTATAAAGGATAAGAAAGAAGAAATATGTTGCAGGACTAGTAACTGTATGGTCAGAACTGTGTGCCACTGCCACTAACATGTTACCAAGTGGAATGGATATTGAATGCACATTAGTGAAGTGCCCAAGCATGCACTGATATAGAGTTTCTGCATTATCACACTGGAAAGTTGAACTTCAAATACCTTCAGGCTTCATAGGTTAGTTCAGCCTAGATCTATTATTCTGAGGCCACCCCACAAAGCTCCTAGCCTATTGGGCATCTTAGAAGCAACAATTAGTGATCTCTCCCTTACATCACTAAAAACATGGTAAAATCAACCAGGAATGAAGTTGATTTTGATTTAGTTACTAATCGAGAATCGCGACTGAGTGCACCATGCTAGTCATGACTAGTTTGGGTTGGAATTGGCATGACCTCACTCATCCAAGACTAGTCAGAGACGACAAGGGGAGTGAACATTCGGCGAATTGGACGAACGGAGCTATTTCTGAACACAGATACCGAGGTGGAACCATTCAATACACAATAAATCAGCTCAAGCCCTTGAATTAACATATTAAGTGTAGTTAGTAAGGGGAATATGCTGACAGACTTGCACCCAAAAAGAGAGAGACAGAGATGTTGATAGATAGCCATAAACAGCACCAAATCGACTACTTCGATCCAGCCGAGCATCACTAGATGAAGAAGTATCCGAATAGGGCCGGTTGCTGCCAAAACAAGAAAGGTTCCTTTGCTGGACCAATCCCCAGAACACCCCAAAATTTAGCTCAAGGTATCAAATCGATAGGGATGAGGCACGAGATTTCACCTGCTGCGGATCGGAGGCGGAGGACTCCTTCTTCTTGCTCCAAGGGAAGAGGCTAAGGAGTGCCTTGCGGTGGCACCGCGCCGGCGGCGGACGGATGTAGTCCTCCCCCACCACCGGAGCCCCGGCTGCCGCGGCGGAGGCGCAGGAGGATACGGCGAGCAGGAGTATCAGGAGGATGAGGGGGAGGGGGAGCGGAGGCGGCGCGGCCATGGCAGGAGATTAGGTACGGCGGACCAATCTCCCACTGGGCTGTATCCTTGTACGACGAACTACCTCAGGTCATTTCTGGTAGAGCACAGTTCAGCCTCCGTGTCAACTGTCAACGAAGGCGCCATTTTTAGTATTTTTTTTTCTTTTCGACTGCTGGACTGTCAACGGACGCACCAATCTTTTCTTTTTCTTCTTTAAAAAAAGATGTGTTTGAAGCAGACATTTGCTCAAAATGTGTCATGTAGAATTTGTTTGAATGAACAATTAAAAGCCTAAAAGATACAAGGGAAGAAAAGTAAAAACACGATAAAATGTGTCTTCCAGAAGTTGCCTGACAGCCTCCGTGCTGGATGCAACATTTGCTCAAAAAGCATCACGCACCACCAGAGCCCATGAAATGAATCAAATCAAGACGCGCACCATTTCAGAACCACACCCCACTTTGCCTTTTCGGCTGCGCCCTTCGCACCATTTCACAACCAGAGTGACACTTTCATGATTGCAGAGGAAAAGTGACGCAATCACCGGCCGAAAGCCGAGTAAACAGAACACACACACACAAAGTTACATAGGTTACATCACTCGATGATGATGAGCTTAAATTAAACAGGCGCGCATCACGACCAACTAGACAGGGTTCCAAGATGGTCAAACTTTGTCAGCGTTCAATCTGTCAATATCCATCGCCTTGTAAAACTTCACATCTTACCTGTGCAGAGCTACCTGCAGAAACTATGGAGAAAAACTACGAAAATACAGAAACTGGGAACCAAAGGCACCTACATCGTGTTTCACTTTGCTCGAGAACTTCTGGGGATACTTTTCTTGAGGACTTCCCTTCCCACATACATCTGTAGGTAGCCCTGCAAGACAGTGAATGTTACATTAGCCAATTAATCGTGGTATTACACATCATTGCAGCATAGAATATACCGTAACGAGGATTGGTAATCTACCTTAACAAGGGTCCTTATATTTTCAGCTTCATCGGACAAAATTCTTGGGATGTCTATTTCTGCCGAGTGAGCCCAGACGGCTGCCACTTTATCCACAGCCTTCTTCACTACAATCTTGTGGACTTCCCGTGACAGCAGACCGTTTTCCCACAGAGGTTTTACAAAGCCTTTGACAAATTCGCACAAGGCGCACTTGAGCGCATTCATTGAGGTGCTACTTTCTTCGACTGCGCTTAGCTGCGGAGGCCCAGTATTTGACTCGGAGATCTGCAACTGAGTTGCTGCTTCAGGGGTACCGTCTTTGCAAACTTCTCTGGTGATTTGGTTTGTTGCATCAGCTTGATTACACTGTTTTTCCTCTACCTGCTTAAACTGTTCTCCCTTCGAAGTGGGTCCAGTTAATGAAGCTGAAAGACTCATAGAAATGCTCTGGGGTTTGAGACTGTCTGCAGTTACCTGGCAAACCGGTTCCCCAGGTGGTGCCGTAAAATCTTCATCGCTGATCATACTAGGCGAGCAATTTAAGTCTGGTATTGAAGGACGTAGGATCCGGTCATCTTGTTTAGCAGCGCCAAAATGAATTGTATCAGAAGCACAATCCTCTGTTGTTATCCGTTGATTTGATGCGATCTCAACCCTACGGGCTTGAGGCTGACAATCCTCCTTTCTAGCTTTCGCGTTCAGCTCATCTTCAGTCTCTGCCAGCAGGGAACATTCTTGCTTCTTCCTTAAAACATTATCATACGTGGTTTCCTGTTGGTTGTCTCTACAATCATTTCCATCTAAACAATTTTCGAAATCTATGTAGTAACTTTCACTAGACCGATTGATGGACTTGTTTTGGGACATGTTTGCAGTTCCTCTAGGCAGCATTGACCCATCGCATGAAGTACTTACAATCTCATGATCTGGAACCCTTAGTGCATTTACCTTCGAAGTGCCATGCCTTGAGCAACTAGCAACAGTCTCTTTGTCAAGCAATATTGGGTCAGTATACATACCAGTAGATTGTTCAGCCAATTTGGCACCATGGCCTCCTGCTTTCTTTTCACATTTTACACCTGGTTTCTCTTTCCTTCCTGCATCCGAATCAGCATTATTTGTCTCCTGTTGAGAAATATTCTGATGTGCACTATTATCACAGTGCGAAACAGCTGCTTGATCCACCTTACAAGTGTCAGAACAACCATTCAAACTACTATGCACCTTGGGATGATCAGTTGATACCAGCCTCCTGTCAACAAGTTTTTCCTTTTCTTTAGGTTGTGCAATTTCAAGAGGATTTGCTTCTGGCAGAAGCTTGAGACTACACTTCAGTCCTTTCTCAGCTGTTGCGTTTTGAGGCCTTTTGTTGCATTTACTGTTACTAGGGAATTTGATGATCTGCTCTAACTTTTTGTTAGCTCTTCCTTCACCACACTTTTGTATATCAGATGATGTTGCGCTACTAAATTGGTCAGAACACTCTGAAGCAGTGTCATCTTTATTATCACTTTCTGAGCTAGACGACGCAGCTGGTCCTCCACTCCTCACTCTTCTTCCAGTTGGCATCTTGCTTCTTTGTGCAGTCTGTCGTTGGTCAGCTTTCACGATGTTATCAGCCTTGGCAGCACTATTCTTTCTTAATTGTCTCTCTCTCCACAGGATTAAACAATCTCGGCGAAGTGCCTCAGACTGAGAAACATTATCTGATATTTTCAGTTGTATATTCCTCTCTGTATGGGTGACTGGAATATGCTGCAGTATACCTCTTTCAGTGCAACCATCAACATCGTTGTCGGATTCTAGATCCATGTCTTTACTTCCTTCGCTCAAATTTGGTGCGTGTGATGAAGCAATAGTTTTGCTGCACTTGGGACTTAACATGTTTTTCCCATCACACTTTATTGGGCCGCTAGAAGCGGGAGCTTTAGCATTCTTCTTTGGGTTGAAGTTCCCTTTTGCTCCATCTTGACACACTAACTTGGTTATTTCAACATTTCCCTCCCGACTATCATTTCTCATCTTGTCAGACTCAACCTGTTGTTGTTGGTCCTGCTCAATGGAGCAGCGGAGCCTTTTAGATTTGTCCTTATTAGCGTGATTCTTCCTAGCTTTCTTTCCACCCAAATGATCTGCATTCCTTTTCCTGCTATTGTTTCTATCATATTTACCAGCACAAGCACCATTGTTAGTGTTTCCAAGGAAATCTTGTTTTATAAATTTCCTTTTTACTACCTTGCCATTATAAGCATTTCTGAAATTTCGACTGTTATCAGAGCATTCACGAAAATCTTCATTGGGAGAAAGCTCAGGTTGCTCATGGTGGATGGGACGAAATCCATTAATTGGTCTCTTGGGGTGAGCTTTTGCTACTTCATCCCTTTGACACGATTCACCATGTGAGGGGTGAACAGGAATATGCTTACTTGAAGATTGAAAATTGGACAAGTAAGACCGATGTCTTGCTGCATCTATCTCAGAAAAATGGTCATCCAGGAATTTAGTTGGTGGATATCTATCATCATGATACTGTCTGTTCTGACTGCCACTCCCCTGGTTAGCAGAATAATTCTTCCTACAACCTCCTGCTGGATGTATCTGTCCGTCATGTCCTTTTGCACAATGAGGAACATGATCAAAGGAAGGGCATTTCTTTCTCCTGGATTAAGAAACAAACTATTTAAATGGCCAGGACTAAATAGTATGAGAAGTTGGAAATGCGTAACGACAAATATTTAAGTTCAGAACAAGAGATTACCGGTAAGATCTGATGGGACCAGGTTCAGGTGAAATGCTGTGCCTGGTACATTCCGATGAATGGTTGTGGCAAGCATGATATTGACCGCAGCGTCCACAATAAGAACAGCAAGATAGATGGCATCCACCTACTCCATCTCCAGAGCCATAAATCGCAGAAGAATGTCGATGACCATGTGATGGCCCCGACCTGCATGCCAAAGCATCAAAGTTCCACAAAACTGAAATGTTTGGTATAAGTAATAAATAATAATGAGCATCCAAGCTTGGAAATAGGTGCACACGGCATACCTCTTTACACCATACGTAGAAAAGTTACAATGTCTATTGCTCACAACTTCTCCAGTTCTGTGCAAATCATAACCACCTCTAGGTTCAGTCCTAGAATCTTCTACCCTGTTTTCACATCACAATATCACATAAATCCAACAATAGGAGATAAATTTGAATCTATAAAACTAACAGCAATATCAACATAGCATGGAATCTGAAATTTAATTCATGTGTTGATGTGTTGATGAAGAGAACAACCTGTCAGGCATATCCAGAGGCAAGTGCAGGGTTGCAACATGATCAGGTTGCTCCCTTGTTGCTTGATCACTTTGACGAAGGATTAAGTTTTCCCACTCATACTTCTCGGAGCGCGAATAACTTTGTGATGCTTGTCCAAAAATTTCTCCATGTACTGATGACAGCAATATCCTTTTTGAACCCATTTGTTATCCAGCTGCACTTGAATGAAGAGGACACTGACATGAAAGCTCAAATATCACAGATGGGAAGCTGGTTTGAATCCTTATTCTTCTCACTTGCTTCCTAGCAACAATACCCATAGATAATCATTGGATAAATCTTGCAACATGGCCCTTGATAAGCAATTTAGCAGATGAATTACCAGTTTCTACCAAGGATCACTTTAGTTCATACTCCCTAAATCATCCTTCAAATATCAGTCAATGGTAGCATCCGGCCCTATAATTATGGCATAGGAAAATAGTAATAAGTAGAATTGAATGGTAGAGTCTGAAGTACACGTGAAGTCGTGTTCTCGAAAAAAAATGCCAATAAAAACTGAACTGTAAAATCTGGCATCTAGCTGAAAGAGAGTCCCCGCATTTCCTTTACAGGGCATACTATCACTGGCCACAAAGGATAAGGAGCTTATGGAGACAAGAAAATGGTAGAGGAATAGATAGTATATGTGATTAATAATGTCTTGGCAAGAAGGGAGAGAATAGTTGTTTTGTATTTACTCAAATGTCGAAACAGAAGAGATAGATTGGTGATGGCTAATGAGTGGACAGTCCAAACAGCATGGAAACCTTATATTTTGAAGGAAAAGCAAAATGGCAAAAACAAAACTATACCTTAAATTTTAGAACAGCTGGAGTTTGATGTAAGAAAACAAATAAATGCAAAAGTTGACATGTACGCATATGTAAATTTTGTTTCCGGTTGCCTAATATGCATTGACAATAATAATATATGCATAAGTCCTGCAATCATGCGTACTACTTAGTAATTAAAAGGCTTATACGATGGTAGATACAAAGTCCATATCTACTCCAAGCCTGCGCCAACTACCATACTTACCCTTTCGCCCTTTCGGTATGATTTCAAATCAACAAGAAAAGATTTTAAAACTGTAAGCAGTGCCATCAAAGTCATCATCAACGTATGCTAAAATTTTAGGTCAATACTCAAACTTTGTTATATGTAGTAACAAGATAAATCACAAATAAACCTTGTTGAAAGATTTTTTTTTCTTACAAGAAAAACTCTGGTAGCCCCACATGTAATATATAGTTGTTTCTTAGCGTATGATGACTGATGAGTTTCGATGTGAAAATTTATTTGGTAGCATATAATTTATAGCACTCCTCACATTGCTTAGAGATCATTTTTTGTGCGAATTTGTTACATTAACTAAAGAGATATACAATAGGACCCAGGAATAATTTGTGAGAGATACCCCAATATATATTGTGTATGTGCAAAGTAATATATATCTGTAAAAGACTTGAATTGAATACTACCATCATTTTTGTGATAAATAAATAAGCGAGACAGCATGATTTTGGAGTTAAAATTCTTGAATTTGAAGTTAGAATTCTATTAATGTCATCTGTTCCACTTGGTAAATATTTGATACATGTGGACCTTGTGTGAAAAAAAGCATATGGAGTACTACTTTCACATCTAAGAAGAAATGGTATCCACAAATATGCGCACAATAATACCGCAAACAAGCCAAAAGCACCTCCATCCAGATATAGAACTGTAGAAAAATGTGACACTGCCAAATTGAGTCTCTAAACTTTCCTAGTTTCCTTGTACTACATTTGACAACGAAAGAAAGCATCAGTAGTGCCCAGCACCCCAGCCCATGCATTTGGTGGTCCCCAGGTAGAGACAAGAGGGGCCCCAAAATCAAAATGGTTAGTTGAGCAACAAAAAGGACACGCTTGGCGACCACCGACCAAACAAGCACTGCATCCCGCCCAACCTTTCAATCTTGATAAAACAAGCATGAACTTCGCAATTGATCCCAGACAAAAAAAATGCCCAATTTAGGAGTGAAGGCACTGAGACCGGCAGGTGGAGAGGGCCATAGATGCGAATAGACTGAAGTAATGCTAGTATGTAGCAGAACTAGGAGCAGTCCATGCATGGAACAATGGAGAGAAGAGCAATACCTTGTCGCCTTGTCGTCCCCGCAGCCGGTGTGGACGTGTGGAGTTCGCCCTGACCTCAGGTCGTCGGCGTCACAGATTAATCTGAGATCCATAAAACATCAGACGATGATCAGATAGGCGATGCTGTTCACGTGACACCAATCAACGTCCAGCCAAAGAACTCAGAGTGCCAAACATGAGGACCAAAACCCCAAAGTAGTAATCGATGGTGCAAATAAATGCACATTAATAGAGAGAAATCAAGGAGTAGTAGTAGCGGCGATTTTACGGGGAATAAAAAGGGAAGCGAAAAAAAACTCAATTTAAAAGCGCAATAAATAAAAGGTAGAAATGATGCAAAGGATTCGAATCTTCATTAAGTATAAAGTACTAGCGTCTCCTCTCAAAATCTTTAAAAGAAGATGCAAAAAAAAAAGTGCAAAGAACTGGAGCGAACAGGATGAAAAGCCAAGATCTCACCTTGGAGGCAATCCGCACTGGGGTGGTTACTTTTAAACCCTAAACACTCGCCCCGTAACCGCCAGCGATTGCACCGGCGAGATAAGAGAGGAGAAGGCGACCGTTGCAAGACGAACGGACAGGACGATCGCGAGGGAGGGCGAGGAGTTTACCGACGTCAATGCCGGAGTCCCGAGTCCCGACGGCCTCCAATGAGTACGAGGAGTCCGAGTCCCGCGACGCGAGAGCGGCGGAAGGGTGGGGGCGCCGCACTGAGAAACGAGAGGAGGAAAAGGAGAGGAAAAGAGGTGGAGCAATGTAGGAGGCGGCCAGAGCGGAGGCGTGATGATAGAAAAAAAATGCTTGCATTAAAGTTTTGTATTGACCAAATCCAAAGTAAATACTCCTATTTGGTTTTTTATAATTTGTTGCATGTAGTTATTTTTATGTTTTATTACATGTGACCTTATATGTCTCGTAGAAGTATAAAGCTGAAAATATTCTATTGTTATTATGTGTGTATCGAGTATGTAAACCTATACTAGAACACTGTACAAGCATGTATAGGAGTCTATAAAATAACTAAACATAAACAAACTGCACGGCATATACCTAAATACAAGTTAATTCAGGCATCAATCATCAGACTAACTTATAGTGGACTATAAAACGAGTGCTGACGTAGGATCTATTATAAATTTATCTCCTATAACTAAAAAGAACCAAGCGTAGACATTTTTTTTGTGCGATATTTGTTTTGGGTCTGCCTCCGCCTGGGTTTGGTGCGACAATTCAACTTTGTCTCGTCGGTCTGCCTGCGTGCGATCCACAGGCGCGGCGATTCACACGCTTCCCCGCGCGTAGGGTATGGAGTGTGGACCCGGTGTCGCTACTCCCCTGCCCCTCGCGAGATCAGGCACCAATCACGCTCCTTCCCATCGCGAGGATCCCTCTCCCGTGCCCCTCGCCGCGCGCCCACTCCACCGCCTCCTCTCCCTTCCCGTCGCACCTGCGCTGTCGCACTCGCATCGTCATCGCACGCGCCGAACAGACGAGCCCCACGATCCCAGCGCGTTGTCATCAGGAGAAGCCAAGCCTAAACACCGTCGCTGCTCTTCCTCCTCGTCGCGCCTGCACCGTCGTCCTCGCCATGCGTGCCCGCGCGGCCTTGGCTCCGCCGCGTCGTCTTCCTCGCCGTGGACACCCGCGACGTCGTCCTCGCCCTACGTGCCCACGCTGTCATCCTCGTCATGTGTGCCCGTGCGGCCTTGGCTCCCCCTTCCCTGGCGCAGGCGCAGCAACCCGGTTGCAGCCTCGGCGCAGCATAGGGCAACCATTGACGCCAGGCACAACGACGGCTGGCAAAGGCTGACTGCGACAATCACATCCGGTAAGTCCAGTGTGTCTACGCTCGATTTTCACCCTACCCTTGCTCACACACCTTTCTGAGCTCTCCATGTCTTGAATCCGCGGTGGACCATGTCTTGTACTACGAAGCATTAGCTATCAGATGGCGAAGCAGCAGCTATCGGATGGCGAAGCAGGAGGGTGATGTGGACTAGGCGAGTAGCATAAGTGACGAGCAGGATATCTGTGCAGGTAACTGTCTTGTATTTTGTGAAAGCCTCCGTTCTCACAACCTTCTCGACAGTATGCCAAATTGCGAGCACCGATCATTACTCTGCCCAGATAGTCTGATCCCGCGCCCAAATGCTTCTTTTCCCTGGTATTTCCTGTTCCTGTTGTATGAGTTGCGTGCCTCTAGGATGTGCCTTGTTTCTTGGGCTCCTCTTCCGTGTAAATCCTAATCTTTTGGATGCCTTTACTATAGACTTCTATTTAGGCTGGTAGTGAGAATATCTGATAATCCCAACTAAACAGAAAAATTGATGAAGTGACAATCAGTATGATGCCACATTAAAGTACTGATAATGATGGTCCATTGGTCCTGCACTCCATCTTGGTTAATCCTGTATTGTTTCTGATAATGGTTCTGCACCCCATACAGGTTAATCGTGGACTGTTGTATACTTGGGTGGCAATACCTCCACCATCTCACCTCAAGCTGTTTGACATTTCTATTTTAGGGTTTCTCTGCTTCAACTCTGATCTCATTTGTGTTAGCGAGCTGACGCCGCTCATGTTTTACTCATAAGTACCTTCACGGTCAAATGTGTCCTCAATTAAATTGCTTTATGGCCTGCGTTGTAAAGTTTTGGCTTATTGAATTTGTATGTAATTAAATCTATATAGCTCGCCACTACGTCGAAGTAATCTACCATCATAAGGTATGCTCTTGTCATAGCGCACTTTGTTATTACTAAATTTTCTTCAGGCACACCTTATGTGTCGACACCATATATGTGGATCCTACTGGTTTTTCTTCATGCAACATGAAAGATTTGTGGCCTGGTTCAGTGTGCTCATGCTGAAGAGAAACCTTAGACCTGAGAAATGCAACATGAAACCTATGAAATGCTTTACTTGAACGTTCCTTCTTATTTGAGTACTCAACCTATTTTGATTTCTTGCGATGACTTCCAATATTATGCTAAAGTTATTTCTGGTCAGCTGGATATTCT